CGGCCTTTCTGTTGGCCATTTCCCGTACCGCTTCCTCAACCTCAAGTAGAGATGGGATGTCGTCGAGTGGCACGCACCTGGGCCACCGCTTGACCTTGTCAGCCGCATGCAGGTCGATGGTCGGCGAATTGGTGTTGAGAAGCGTGTGCCTTGAGCATCACCTTCAGAGTCGCCTCGAAGGCGCTGTTCTTTGAGGCCCCACGCAGACGCTGCTGAGCCGACTTAATCTCCTTAGACGCTTCGGAGATCTCGTGCTGCGCTTCGCTCGTGTACCAGCCTCTCTGCCCTCGTGCGAATTTCGCCAGCGGCGCGGTCTCAGCAGCGGCCGACATCACCGTAGCCGTCAGCTCGGCGGCGGTCTCTCCCGTTGGTCGCCTGAGCGCCGTGGGCGGAGTGCGGCTGGAGGCCCTGTTTTAGAAGGCGACCCGTAGGTGTTTGTCCTTCCTTGACCGCTCGAGGTCGATATTTGTGTGAACGACCAGTTCACGTACCCACAATAGGGTTTGGAAGCCGAAAGCAAACCACTAACTTGGTCAGCTATACGCCGAAATCAAACCATTAGACTGGTCATGGCTGGCTATGCCACTGTATCCAATGAAGCAATTTCGGCGTCTAAAGCTTGCACGCGCAATGCTACGTCCTTTGAGCTACAACCAAACGGGTTCAATCGTACATGGTACTGTATCTACCGACCGGACGATGACTCATATAAGTAGCTCACACTTCCGTAGTGCGTGGCGAGGTTCTCGGCCATGTCGACGAACTCCACGAACTCGAGCCCGTGGACCTTGCCCCACTTGATGTACTCCTCGGGGGTGGACATGTCCTCCAGGTGGCACCGGTTGTACACCTGCGGATGTTGATGAACGCGAAGCATGGCTAAATAAAATCACCGTGCTGCGTCCTCTTCCTTGTTTTCGCCTTTTACCAGCAAACCCCTAAATCAATGTCCCAAGTCCAGTCGTGATTGTGCACACAAGCCTGTCCCGGAGGGAAAAACAAATCCCTGCCTCACCGGGAGAATGTGAAGCTTTGCTAAGCTAAGCTAAGCGCGCTCAAGAAAAACGATGGTGGACGAACGAACCCCTTTGCCGCGGCAGAGAGGTTCGTTCGTCTACCGTCGCCCGTCGAATGTTCCTACTGGGAGAAAGACAATCTCTGCCGCAGCAAAGGGGTTCTTTCGTCTACCATAGTTTTTCTTGAGCGCGCCGGCAGGGTAAGACAGCAAAGGATTTGGATGTACCCTTCCTCTCGTTGATCTAGCTATAGCGGAAGGCAACCGTCGGCAGCAAAGTGAGGAGGCAACAAGACGCAAGATACGAAATACCTGCGAGACGTTCGCTTCGCCTACAAACAACTTGGCGTGTTCCGCCTGATTCAGACGCGGGATGAGCCAACATGTACAGAGGTACAGCAGCGCTTTGTGTGGCGATCTTCGATTGTCTTGGCTTACGCCATGCACCGCACCGACCGCACAATCAGCCTCTGCGGATTGCCTTCCCCCCCCCGTTGCCCCTCGGTGTTTGCCATCGGGGTTGGGTTTTCGTCGCTTGGCAGCGTACAAGCCGCCCCCCCCGGTGTTTGCCATCGGGATTGGGTTTTCGTCGCTTGGCAACGACGTTGTAAAACAAGCCAATTCACTTCGTGAACTCGGCAACCAGGTTACCGTTTTTTTTTTTTCCTCCGGTTTTTTTTTGGCGGTAACCACAATGGTGGTCGAGTAGATCATGTTGTGCGGGGTGGAGAACCCTCACTCCGCGCAAGGGGGATGATCGCACCACGTTGTGTTAAAATGGTCAAGCACCCTCGAGGCAGTTACACAGTGCTTACAACTGTCTCTGGAAGTGAAAGCACCAGAAAATAAATTAATTCATACGCAGCTGTCATCCGTACGCAAGGAAGTAAGCACAAGATGCCGAACACCCTTAGCAGGATGCAGCGCACCCTTCATGCGACTCGCCGAATATCTCACGGCGCTTCGCGCTTGGTGATGTGAGAGCCTGGTCCGGTGAGAACCCAGCGTGCTCCGTCCCGGCTTTGTAAGGATGCGAGGTCAATGGTCTAACGACTACGGCATGCACGACTATGAGTACACCCC